GGAGACCCCACCAGATGGACCTGAACCAGTTTCCAGTCTACAAAGAGGAGGATCAACACAGAGGAAACATTTCCTCCATGCTTCCAAGTGAAGCCAGCCATGGCCAGTTGAGCAGGACCTTTGACTTATCTTCACATAGATAGAACTGGTAAAAGAAGGGAGCCAGGGGCTCCTCCCATGTGACCTCTGAGGAACAGGTCCTCAAACGACCTTAAGAGTAAAAATAAATTTCTTAATCTGGCCAACTGAAGGGTCTTAAACACCCAAAAGGAAAATAAAACCAAAGATTAAAGCGATCAGTGTAATACTTTGAGTCCATGTGTATAGCTCAAGGCTACATAAACAAGAAACAATGCCAGACAGGAGATACCTTCCTTTGAGTTGTTGGCCAGGGTGGCCCAAGAGACTCCCAGACAGTAACCCAGCATAGAACTGGGAAAATGAACAGTAGACCCCAATCTTATCTAAAGGAACTTTGGCAACTGATTGCTGCTAGATGGGGAAGAGCTGATCTTCCTAAAACTAGGAACTTTAGATAGGATGACTAGACTCAGCGGATGGACTGGCACTGGGGAATGGGTGGGGGCACTGATAACACAGTGGACAGTAACAGGGATAATAGAGTATATGGCCTTCTTTGGGGAGGGGCTATGGGAGGGTGCCATTTAGGATGCAGGTATAAAGATGAATAAGATTGTTTGGGATGTTCTGTATGAAATACACACATACAAAATAAATAAATAAATGAGTTATATTTGAGGAAGAAGCATAAAATTTTGCTTCATGTTAATTAGTAGATATGAAAAACATTACCATCTAAATCTACCTAATGACTTTATATCCATGCTCAGGTGCCAAGTATCTCAGAAAGTAACTGACTGTTACTAGTAATAATCAGATATATAGAGATTAGAGATGCATGTGCAAATATCTATGTTAGTAGCATTAAAAATGAGTTTTTCTGTGTGAAACAGTATATTTTAAAAAGACATGGAGATATTTTTTAAAGGTTAAAACCTCATTCAATTTTATGTCTTATAGGGTTTATACTGAGTACAATAATGTATAACTGTATTAATTCAACACTGTGAACCTAAAAATTTACAGCCAATTTTGAAAGGGATGCATCTTTGCTCTGGAAACTGTTACTGAGTATGTTAATGCTGTTGTAATGAAATGCTTCTACTAGTTATGTGGTTATTAAATAAATTAAAAATTAATACAAAGAATAATTATAAAATTATGTTTATTTTCATATGTAGCTCATTTCATTATTTTATAGTAGCCCCTGTGTCATAAGTGTGTTAACTTTTTCTAAAATATGATAGGATTGCAACTGTTTCAGAATTCACTGACCTAGTATGCAATAAGCTTATTTAAGAGAATCTAAAGATGCAGTGATGATCTTAGTACTTTGTAAGCCTTGGTCCTAATGTAATTTCACCCATATGCAAAAAGAAGTGGACATAAATAAATTCACTGTATGTGAATTACTGATTTAGAAGAAACATTAATATTATATTGAAGGACTTTAACTTTGGAGATACATGTTTTGTAGCAGAAAATAGAAATTTCTACAATTTGAATATGTAATTCTTCATTAATGTCAATTATTTCACCAATTGTTACCTGAAAACTGGCTAAAAATGAATATTCTTCTGTCATAATAAACCAAAGAAGTTTACATTTAGTTTTCTTTGTCTTTTTGTTCATTTCATTTTATCTTCCCCCACCCTATCTCCAATTATTTCACGACATTTCAGTGCTTCAGAGAATTTAGATGAGCTCTCTTCCTCCAGTAGCCTGTTACTTAATCAGAAGCACAGTAAGAAAAGGAGAAAAGACAGGACAAGGTTGAAATCTCCATCCTTGGCTATCATGAGTACAGCTGCCCGAACAAGGCCACTTCAGAGTTTCCACAAACGAAAACTCTACAGATTGAGCCCCACTTTTTATTGGACTCCTCAGGTAAGGCTGCATTTGGCAAAACATGAAGAAGATTTCACTGCTAGTATATTTTGAGTTCAAGTGTATGTGGGTTAAACAGAGTTGTTTAGAATAATTACATAGAGAAAACTAAAATGTAGTTTATACATAATTATAGATATTGACAATAAAAATTTGGAATTTAGTAATTTTTAAGCAGTGTACTCTGAAATTTCTCATTCTCAGTGTTTTTATTAATTGTTATTGTTGGTTTCTTTGATGTTGGAAATTTAACACAGGGGCCCCTGCATACTAAACAGCATTCTTTCACTGAGATATGCTCCAGCTCCATGTATATATTTACTTTGTTTAAACTAATTTGTAAAAAAATTAAATGTCAAGGTATTTTTAAAATATACAGTAAAGATATAAGGAAAATAGAAATATACTATATATTTGTGTTAGAATATTTTCTAAAGTAAAAAAAGGTGTAAAAGGTAGATATCTGTGCAATATCTTAATGTTACCAAAACCAAAGGTGTATTAAAATGATGATGGAGTCGTGTTGAAAGAACACAGGAGCTAGCTTTAACGTTTCTTTCAGTCAAATCTGGGACAATTTGAGCATCAAAATTCTATTTTTTAAAATAATGAAATCAGTTTTACTTAAGAATTTCCAACAATGATAACTTTTATGAAAAGCATCCAAGCACAGGTCACAAAACTACAGCAAATATTAACAACAACAAATTTAAAAATTAAAAAAAAAATGACTTTTCTACTTGAGTCAATGCAAAACAGTGTATTTGGTATCCATCCTGTCCAGGCCTTTTCTTTTCTTTCCTTTCTTTTTTTTTTTTCTTTAAATGTATCCTATGCTAGCTTTGAACTTGCTATGTAGCTAAGGTTAACCCTGAACTTCTGATCTTCCTGTCTTCACTGCTGGAATGCTGCGATTATGCGTATGCTGGGGGTTGAACCTAAGGCTTTGTACAGGCCAGGTCAGTACTTTACCAACTGAACTACATCCTCAGCCCCAATTAAGACAGTAGTGAACTATTGAAAACACATTGAGGGGGTTGACAGTGTGGCTTAGTTTGCATAGTGTCTGCCTAGCATGCACAAAGTGCTGGATTAGAGCCACAGCATAACATAAAACTGGGCACAATGGCATACACCTACAATCTTGGCATTTGAGAGGTGGATGCAAGGAGATCAGAAGTTCAGGGTCATCCTAGGCCACATAAAGAGTTTAAGGCCACTGTTGCCTACATGAGACATAAACGTAGAGTGGATGGTAGAATTAGAGAATGACTGGCCAAAACCCATTTGTGAGCAGCAATAAATCTGAGGTCAGGAGTGAGGAGTTTGAAGAAGATATCTGATGGACTTAAAGCACAATCACCCTTCTTGCCAGCTGCCAGGGGCTCATAATAATGTTATTATAGACGATCAGAAAATAATTCGCCTGACTTATCAAAGCCAATGTTGCCTGTGAGAAAGATACTGTATTGGGCATGGATGTATAATTTTAATTTAAGCCTGAGTAGTCATCATTAAATAAAGCCAAAATAAAAACAACTGACTTGGAATCCTTGAAAATTATCAATGTCTTATCATGAGGATTGTCATGGATTGAGAGATTAAGAAAATAAATGAAAACCAACTAAAGTGTAATCCAGAGCAGAACACTTTCAAAAGTGAAAAACAAAATCTTGGGACAATGAAAAAACTGAACCATATTTAAAAAAATATTTTATTGAATTTTTGCAATTTTCTTATACCATAGTTTGATGGTATAGATCCCTTTCCCTTTCTTCAACCCCCCCACTGCCTCCCACCCAATGTCATGTACTCCCATGTATATAAAACACTGCTTATAGAGTCTGATTTGTGTCCTCCAATGTCCTTCAGTGTGGGTTCATCCAGTGGGCCCACCAAGAGTTCCATCCCTGTAAGACAGTGCCTTTCCCACTCCCAGCAGCAATTAATTGCAAAGGTTCCTTAGCTTGGGTTAGAATTTCTTACCCACTTCGCATGTCTGTGCTGGGATTTTGTCTGGTTTGAGTTTGCATAGGACTTGTGCATGCTGTCACCATGAGTTCATATGGGTAACTAACCAGCTGCCTGGAAGACTTTGCTTTTTTGTGTTATCTACCCACTCTGGCTCTTACTATGTTTCTGCCTCCTCTTCTGTAATGATCCCTGAGCTTTGGGAGGCAGAGGTTTGAAATAGATGTCCTATTCAGGGATAAGTACTCTGCAATCTCTTGTTCTCTGCACGTTGGCCAATTGTGAGTTTCTGTGTTAAACACCATCTGCTGCATAAGGAAACTTCTCTAGTAAGAGTTGACAGTTCATCCTATGTGTAGAAGTTGTTTTGAAGATGTATCACTTAAGGTTGAGCATCTCACAGACACTTATTCTCTGCATTTGACCAGTTCTGGAATTCTGTAATAGTCTCCATCTTTTGCAATAAGAAGCTTCATTGATGAGGGGTGAAAGGTACACTTGTCTGTAAATATGAAGACGCATATTTAGAATAAAGTAAGAAATTATACTGGTTTAGGCATGTGGCAAAAATAGGTTTTTCTCTGGATCTATGACCTCTCTAGTCATATGTATTTAGCTATCATTACAGTACCACATATGAGCAACCCTTAATTCCAATTAGATAGCTGTTGATTACCCACACCACTGCACCAAGAGGATAGTTTGCTGGACCAGTATTTTTTAGGCTTTACAGCTGGGTAGGACCATTCATTGTTTTTCTCCCTTGTAAGCTTATATAATGTCCTCTGGTACTATGAGAGCTAGGCTTCAGGGATGAGGCCTCCAGGTCAGTTCCAGCTTGATTATTCCAAGTCCTGTGTCCAAAAGTATGTCCTGTCTTCAGCAATAGGGTCTTACCTTCAAGTCCTGGGAGACAGTCAAGGGCTGTGGCAGTAGCCTGTGTTATTTGGGGAGTCTCCTGGATTACCCTCCAAAGGGAGGTTTCTCCTGCCTGGCACTGTGTTTTTTGCTATATAACCTTCAGCTATACACATGCACTTATATGTTTACTGTATGTATATTTTTCAGTAGGACTTTGACTTAATACATTTCCCTCTGGCTTTTCATACCATCTAAGCATTATTTATCTTGGCATTCACTCCTCTTATATAACCCTCGCTACTACTCCCTATTCAGTTAAAGTACTCCTCTTTTTCCCATTTCCCCCTTAATAACACTGGTCTCTTACTATCCTTCTTCTCTGGAGCATCTTCTTCTATTTCTTTAACTTTTATAAAAACTTTATTGAGAATTTCATATACACATATAAGGTGTTTTGATCAAATCCATGCCCACTCCCTCCCCTCCAACATTCCCCGCCTCTGAAGAGGCAACCCTAAAATATTTTAAGGATTAGATACAAGCTCCCAAATACTTTTGACATTTTTGGCTTTTGGAACACAGTATGTTGCTCACAGGCCCAAGGACATTTGGAATTTAGGCAAGAAAATGGCTACATTTCTTTGGGGTCTTTTTACCCTAACTGCCTAGCCAATTCCTACTTCCTATACTTTTTTTTTTTTCTACCTCCTAGTGTTATCATGCCATCCCCTGAAGGGGTTACCCAAAATGCCAATACGGAATAGGGATGCAGACTGCTCTGGCTTCTTCCATGCTGAACAGGGATGCGGGCTGAGGCAATTGGAGTACCGCAACAGTGGATCTATCTAAAAGACTCCCAAATTGCATAACTTGTCTCTACGGGGAAAAGAAAATCCTTGAATCATGAATAGGAGGTGTGAAGGAGAAGTAAAGGCAAGAGTAATTAGCATTACAAGTTGTAGACAGGGAACTAGAAAAAAGTCAGAACAGGGAAATTTTCAAATGTGCTTATGAGAGTACATTGGAGTTTCTTGACAAGGGCTTCCAAAAGCATCCCTCTATTGGGTTCTTCCTCATTTTTCTTTTGTCTTCCAAGGCTGGACTAGTTGGCTAGGAAAAGTGGCTGGATACTCAAGTGAGGACCCAGTGACCCTGCTTGGCACTCCTTTAATGAATAAGCACAACCGTCCACAAACCCAATTGTGACTATGTTTAGCGATCAAGCTCAGGGGAAGTCATGATGATGGTAGTTATTTCATGCAGAAGGGACTGCTGTATAGCATCATCTTATTAAAAGGACCTGGAATTTAAAAGGATTTGGTGCTAGGAACCACATATGAGGGAGAACATACATCGTTTGTTTTTTCTGAGTCTGTGTTACTTCACTTAGTATAACAGTTTCTAGATCCATCCATTTACCTGCCAATTTCCCTATTTCATCTTTCTTTACTGCTGAATAAAACTCCATTGTGTAAATATACCACATTTTCATTAACCACTCGTCAGTTGAGGGATACTTAGGTTGCTTCCATCTCTTATCTATTGTGAAAAGAGCAGCAACAAACATGGTTGTACAAGTGTCTCTATAACAGGATCAGTCCTTTGGGTATATGCCAAGGAGTGGTACAGTTGGGTCATATGGTAGGTTTATTTTTAGTTTCTTAAGAGTTCTCCATACTGATTTCTAATAGGGTTTTTCAATCTTGCCAACAGTGGTCATATAATTTATATGGATATATAAATTAGGGGGGTATTTATTTTTATTTTCTGTATTTGAATGTTTTTCTTGCTTGTATGTAAGTGCACCTGTGCCTGAAATGCCTGCAGAGGTGAGAAGAGGGTGACAGATCCTCTGGAACTGGAGTTATGGATGGTTGTTAGCCACCCTGTGGGTGCTGGGAATTGAACCTGGATCTTCTGTAAGAGCAGCCGGCACGCTTAATGGCTGAGCGTTTCCTCCAGCTCCAAAATAAAAACGTTTATCAGGTTGGGAATGTAGCTTAGTGATATAGCATCTGTCTACTGTGCTTTGAGTTTCATACCCAGCACTGCAATCAAACAAACAAAAAGCCAGTATTGAATTTCCTGAATGTGGTAGCTGTTTTGTTGTTATACAAGAAAATGAACTTTTTTAGGAAGTGCCCATTGAAATATTAAGGATAATCCAT